CCATAGAAGCACAAGTTCAATTCCCGGCCAGGGAGCTGACCCACATGGTGCGGCAGACCTCTCCTGAGCAGACCCCTGTTCCCCTTAGCAGTGGACTTCATCGATCTGCCTGTTCTGCTCCCCACTGCGCCTCTTCTGAGTCCTCTCACTGCCCCTGTGGAGAGGGCCTATACCCCAGTTCTGTATGAACAAATAAATAAACCTTAAATTAAAAATAAAAATAAATTTTTTAAGTACAAAAATTTCAATGATTTATAATTGATATACACAATTTTATAAATTTTAGGGCTGCATCTTCGTGGTGATGTATGTTTATGATGTGACTATTGCTTGTAATCTTCAGCACTGTGACGGATTCAAACCTGACCAGCTTTTCTGTGTCCTGCTGTGTCTGGAAATATCTTGGAAACGTGGTTCACTGAAAGGCAGATTTGCTAAATGCAAAAATGCGGAAGTGGAGGAAGGGATCAGACGTGGTGTCCCTGAAAGAACCTTAGGATCTGGATACCTTTGCCCCTTTGAAAATATACCAGTTCTGTTGGTTTATATTGCTTGGTGGATATTTTATCCATTCAGAATGCAGTGAAAACTATGAGGTCTTTCAAAACTGCAGGGTCTTCTGATCAGCAAACAGAAGAGTTTTAGCCTCGTTTGGGAGTGAAACTGCTCAGTGTCACGTGAGGCTTTGTCTCAGTGGTGCGTCCTGGACATCAGTGGGCTGTTCCGCCCTTGTCAAAGCCTTCCAACAGGAGCCTCCCCAAGCCCCAGACCTTTGGTTAGCAGGTCAAAAAACTACTAGCAAGTACTCTCAAATCTCCCATTCAGGCTGGTAGAGCTGTTCAACAGTCTTGTAAGATACCTTTGAAAACTTTCTGTTATTTTAGTTTATCTGTGGAATGGGAGTTCTGTTTTAATGAATTTCAAGGAGCGTGTTGCCCAATGTTATGTCAGCTTCAGCATGCGCTCGAGGCCTACTCATATTTTCACAAATGACTATGTCCTTCTTTTGTATTGTCTGTTTTTTTTCTACTGATGGGTGTAATTGTTTCCATGTCTTGGCTATTGTGAAAAATGTTGAATGAATGTGGGAGCAAACGTATCTTTGATGTGCTGATTTATTTCCTTTTGACATCTGCCCAGAAACAGGATTGCTGCATAATGTCCTGTTCTCTTTTTAATATTTTTGAGGAAGTTCCACAGTGTTTTCCAGTTTACATTCCGGCCTACAGCACTAGGGTTCCCTTTACTCCATATATTCAGCAATACTTGCTTTTGTCTCTGAAGACAGCATTCTCACAGGTGTCAGATAAGGTTATGACTTGCATTTCTCCTGTGATTTGTGATACTTTTCACGGATCTCTTGGCCATTTGTCTGTCTGTCTTTGGAAAATGTTAGTTCCCTTGCCCTTTAAAAAAGGGATCGTTAAGTTAACAGGCATAGTTTGGAAAAAATAAAGATGGGGTTGTTTGTTATTCTGCGATGGAGCTATATGAATTCCTTTGGATAAACACCTTTTTCTGTAGATGGCTTGTATTTTCTACAAATTGATTGGTTGACTTTATATTTTTTGTTTGTTTGTTTTGCTCTGTAGCTTTTTACTTTGATGTAGTCCCAGGTATTAAATCTTGCTTTGTTGCTGTGTTTTGCCATCATACCCATGTATTATTACCAACAGGGAGCTTTTCCCCAGTTGTCTCCTAGGGGTTTAACAGTTTTGGGTTTTGTGTTGAAGACACATACTAGTATTTAAATTTAAGTAGTAGATATTTGTTCATATCATTAAATGTAAAGAATTTTTTAAATTGTGAGAAAACATCCTTCAGTTTCTTCTCACATCTAAGTTATTCTAGAAGAGAGGGTAATTGGGAAGTGTAGGGCGTTATCTGTCCTGTGACCAGTGCGTGACTTTATGGCAGGGAAGGGCTGGCATCCTCTGGCATTCTCCCCAGGAGTCCTTTTCCCAGAGGATCGCATCCCTGGCCAGCTCGCTGCTACCAGCTCACTAACAGAGGAGCGCAGCCCCAGAGACGCCCGCCGAGTAGGCAGGGCTGGTCCCAGGCAGCACAGTCGCGGCGAGTCTCACCGCACCTCTTCCACCTCCGTGCTCTCCGTCAAGTAGCCGGTTCGCTGTGTTCAGGAAACTAGCGGAGCTGGGTGCTGTCTGCCTTTACCTGTCTGAGGCCCGACGCGGCAGCTCCTAGTCCCACGTGAAGATATGTGAGGTCATCATGAGAAAGCAACTTCTTGTCCAGAAACATTTCTGCATCACCTGAAGCTGGCCATCAGCCTTTCACTGACTTCACTGCACCTGCTTCTGGTTTGTCTACCCAAGAGAACACCACGCACCACACTAAAGCGTGGAACTCTGAAAGGAGGTAGGGAAGAGGTCAGGCACGCACACAGAGCAGGTGAGTAAAGGCGAGTGGAGGGGAACATGGTCTCGTTGCTTTGGCAATAGCAAAATTTATTTTCAGTAGAAATTGTTCTGAAACAAAACCCAAGGTTGTTTTCATAGATGTGAACTCAAAAAGGAAGAATATATGGAAATTCAGCAAGCATAGCAGCTAAATTTAATTGTTTATTTTAGGAACCAATGATGGTATCCAGACATTTCATTCTCTTGTAGTTCCTTTATTACACATCAGTATGCACAATGGATAATTAAGTACAACATATTTAGAATATATGCTTTCAAGAATTAAATAATGGTGTATGTTTTTTTTTAAAGATTTTTCTGATTGATTTATGCATACAAGAACTGGGGTACAGGCCAGTGGTGCAGGGGTGAGAGGATTCAGTAGACACAGAGTGGGGAACAGCAGGTGGGTTGACTGAAGTCCACTGCTGAGGGGGCCGCGGGGAGACAGGAGAGGCCTGCTGCGCCCTGTGGGTCACTCTCTGGCCGGATCAAACTGTTGCAGTGGCTGGTGGTAGCTTGATAGCACTGAGACTTAACTCTCGCACCCCAGCAAGTATTTGGTATGGAGCCCCCCCATACTTCCATTACGTATGTCCTAATGTGAAAAGTCTAAGTGTTAGATGACATATTGATTTTCCTTTTCTTTCCCTTTATCTCCTTCCTTTCTGTGGTTTTATCAATATTTGTTCTCGTCTTAGAATCGCCATTCTCTGTACTTTTAAAAAATGTTCATTTCTCCCTCAGAGAGTTACAAGGGTATTTGAAATATGAATGGACCTTTCGTAATACTAACTTTGATGTAGTACTAAGCTTGATGCCACAGCATGGAAGCTGCTTCCCACGAACATAGTGCCAGTGCATTTTTATTTTTAGCTTATGCATCATGAGAAGTGATGATTCTTCTACTGAATGAAAGTACCAGCTCCATGAGGAATAACGCTAGGAATATTAAATATGATGCTAATTGTAATTGATGGGCCAATTACACAGATGATGCTGGAGCGATGGGACTGCACCAGGCGAGCTGGCGTGTGCAGGATGCGCCCCCTCTCGCTCAGGACCAGGCCCATGATCAGACTGTGGTGTGGGTAGCCTGGACCTCCCAGATCTTTACTCCCTGGTTCACGCTTCCAGCCCTACTGTTCCGTGTGTCAGTGCTGGGTGCAAAGCCTTAGCCGCCTTTGGAGAACTCCCCTCGGTTCAGAGGGAGCCTCAGGGACAGTGCTGGGGCGCCACAGCCGGGAAGCCTCCTGGGGCACACACGGCTGCCTCTGTCTTGGGGCGGGTCTGAATCTGCGGCCACCCTCGCTCCACAGGGACGCTTTGTGGTACAGGGGGGACCGGCCTCAGTAAGCTGCTTAAGTTATGTGAATTAAAATTGAAATTTACAATCCAGCTGTGTAACTGCCACACTGTACGTGCTCAGGCTGCGGCCTGTGAGCAGTTACTGCTTTCGCAGTGGAGACAGACTATTACTCTCCTTGCCGGTGGGACAGGTGCACCGCCTGCTGCTGGCCAGCTGTGTTCCGGTTGCGACCACAGTCTTGTGCAGTGACTTTGTCCGCTGCTTTGATTCTCTGTGGCCTTGCCCGTGGGGATTCCTTCAATAAACAACGTGCACTGAAATTCCTTCTTCATTCTCTTCTTCCGTATAATTTGCTGTAAAGCACTGTCCTTGTTCTCGGGGACAGCCCGCCAGATGTGTGTTCAGCATTCTCGATAAGGCTGCATGAAAGTAAGGGCAGTTCAGTCACACTGCTGAGGCTGTGGGGTTTTCCCACTGTTTTTTTCTGGATTCATTCAGGAACTTGACAGGACAATCTGTATATTAAATATTTCTGATACTTAAGTGTATTTTGTAATATCTTAAATGTAGATATTATCTTAAGAAGCCTTGCCTTGAAAATCTCATTTGTATTGAAATGTTTGTTCTTCCAGTAAAATGTTAGAGATATATTATGGGTCACTATAGTACAGTGAGTTTCGGATTTCTGCCTCCGACATGTGTGAGTAGCAAGCCTTTTCCTTTCATGAAACTTCTCTCATTTGATATCAGTTCTCTTGTCTATTACTGTTGAAATTTACTCTTGTGAGAAGTCATTTCCCAAATCTTCTTTTTTGATGGTGAAAGTTACAAGAGTATCATGTTTACTTTTTGGTACATTTTTTCACATTGTGACTGATTTGTTCATGTGTTTTTTTCTACTTTCATGTTTTCTTATTTTGTGTCCAAGGAAGTAGCTCACATGTAATCTTTGTGACATGTCTTTCATGTCATAATGTGATGGCTGCTAAGGTACCACAGATCCTGTCTGATCTTTCCAGTCATTATTTACATTCATTTATAATATAAAGCAGTACTTTGTGCCTTTGATCACTTGAAGCTTATGCAAACATCGATGATGATTCAAGTCAAATTACACAGTCCTGGAATGTGCTAACAACACATTAAACTTACTTAACTGTAGGCAAAAAATACGTCTCCTCCTGGAACATTGTTGTGTGTGGCGGTGCTAACAGCTTCAGGAGGAATGGGTGTGGCATAGGAAAGGGAGAAGGAACAGTGGCCAGGCCGGCAGAATGACCTTTGAGAATGCAAGGGACAGCGCATCTTGCAGGTAGGTGTCTGCCCCATCCAGAGGTACTGAAGGACAGCAGATTCTTTGGTTGCCAACGAGAAACAAATGAAAGAAGCTGAACCTGCCATTCTCCGGTGGCAGCCAGCTAACCCTTGAGCTAGCCGTGTCCTGCTCTGCGTGGCCGGCCCTGGGGTCCCAGGAGTTGTGGCCTCTTTCCCCGCGTGGTGGCAGGGTGGCGTGGGACGCGGTGCTACCTGCAGGCACAATGGCATTCCTGGTTGCTTGCAAGGTATTCCTGTTGGGTTGTTTTTAATCATTTCTTAAAATGAGTTAACAGCCTACATTGTTGTCACAATCACATTCTTTATTCTGATAAATTGGTGTCTCGTTGCCTGATATTTTGCTTTTTAACCTAAAACCACATATATTTCCTATTTCTTGAGTTAGCATTCAGTATTATTTTAAATATTTATACCTGTACATCCACCAATATTTGTACAATTTCAACTCTTAAGCGTTCTATATCTTATCACCTGCCTTTTTGGTCCTTGTTGATGATATGATGCTAACATACATCACTGTTTTATTGTAGCAATGTTTATTCAGTTGGTGTTTTCCTCTGATGAGTTAGCACTCAATGTTTGCCCTCCTTCCCTTCGGTGAACTGTCTCTGTTAGGTACATTACAATAGTGGTGATTTCAGAAGTGTGTATCTGTTGGCAGAGCTCTTGCATGACTTTGACTGGCGTCTGGACTTGGATACGGAAAGGTGTGTGACAGCACGTGTGCCTTGGGGATACTCTCAAGTGCTGGGCCTGAGCCCCAAGAATGTGAGGAAATAGGTCATGCGAGCAGCAGCTACATGTGAGAAAGACAGTAAAAGAGCTTATGGAGAGAAGTGTCTGGGTGTGCGAGTGTTGGCCATCTGGAGCTGGACAGGGTGTCCCAAGAATGAGAACACCAGGTACAGAGTTAGTATAAGTCAGTATGCTGTTGTTCCTGCTTGAGACTGTGTAGATAGGTTAAATCAGTATGCTTAGTGTTTCAGCTTGTTCATGCAGAGTATATTAAGAGCACGTTGCACAATAAAGACTCACACTGCATGCTGGACATAGCAGTCATCCCTCCGGTTTGTCCTTTACAGGCGCACCCCAGGTCCCAGACCCACTGGAGGCCCACATGTATCCATGTTTGTGTGTGTGTGAACTGAACCACTTAGTTTTGATTTATGTCTGAGGAGGTGTGAATCAAGGGATGTATTCTGTCATCATAAATTTAGACTGTTCTAGTACATGTATAACTCTATTATGAAATTTTTGTGTTTAGTTTTTGGTGGATACCACAGTTCACATCATTATAAGAAAGGAATGAAGTGCTTTTTTTTTTTTCCTACTTGTGGTGATTACTTAAACTTTAAATACGCCTGTACCGACAATAAAATACTACGTTGTTTAGAAGCATGTACTTTGACATTACAGTACCTTGGGTTTGTGTTGTGCCCTTAGGAGTATAATGATGGAGCAAGCTAATCACGTTAATCTGTTTCTTCATATTTGAATAATATTTTGAGATGTAGTTTAGATAATGCATGTAAATATTTTGGAATATACTGGTCAGAAATGCCAGTCGGTAACAATATCTTTTGTTGTTGTTGTTGTTGGTGCTATCTTGACTTGCCTTAAAAGATTTTTTTCATTGTTTTTTTTTTAAGATTTATTTATTTATGTATACAGAACTGTGGTAACAATATCTTAACTGTACTAGCATGTAAAATTTTGTACATTACTCAAACTTAAATGTAAAAAGCGTTTTAAATTAAATAATGTTTTTTTTTTTTTTGCCAAATATGTGGACTCTACTACTCTTCCATACTATTGTTTAGGGATGAAGTGTAAAGTTAGATTACTTTAGCAATCCTTCTCATATATAAAATATGACATTTTTATTATGTGCTCATATTTCAAAAGACTTCAGTCTTTGTTATTTATTTAAAGATTTATTTATTGATGCATACAGAACTGGGGCACAGGCAAGAGGTGCGGAGGTGGTGAGAGGCTTCACTAGAGACAGAGCGGGGAGCAGAACAGGCAGATCAAGGAAGTCCACTGCTGAGGGGAGCAGCGGGTGGGTCAGGAGAGGTCTGCCGCGCCCTGTGGTCACCTCCGGGGCAGGCGGGGATCGAACTCATGCAGAAGTGGCTTTAGCTTCTCAGTGCTATGCTTTAAATGCTGCACCAGGGACGGCATTTATTTATTTTTCTTACAACTGAGTATGTGAGAAGGAAGACAGTTACATAGTGCTAGAGAAGTACTTCCCTGAGTCTTCTCTATCACTTCATTTTTCTGTCATTCAAGTTTTGACAACATTTACTTTAGACAATATTTATGAGTATTTTATACACGAATGGGTCTATATCCCAATCTGATTCAGATTTATAAATTCTTACAAGATTTAAAAGATTGCTGAAATCCTAACCCTTTGCATGGTAGAACTAAATTATTAAGGTGATGCTTCTCTATGGAGGGTGGGTTGCATTTACACTAGTAAACAGCTGGATAGTGAGAGTGCATCTACTAACTTTAGAGCTAGCAACACTCTGCGCAACCAGCTGTTCAAGTTAGTCTCCAGAATGGTTTATGAAATTGAATAAAGTGGATGGATATCCTTAAATATTTCTAATACTAAAATACCAAAAAAAAAAAAAGGCTATTTTGGGGTGAGAATTTATTTCGTACCATCCAAAAGACCAGGGTGGTGTTCACGCAGTAAGACGGAGGTGGAGGGAAGAGCAGACTGTCTCCTTGTACGTCTATGGCACTAGGAGTGTAGTTTGAGTTTGATTTAGTCCTTTGAGTAAGTATAGTCTAGTTTACTAAGTCCTCATTTTGAATGAATTTTAGATTTTTATACATTTTTTTCCAGCATGTGAGACATGTTAATACTGTTATGTATAATGATGAGATAGATATTTAAAATTACCTCTGCCTCTTGTCCATGTCTTTGTTATTTTTTCTAAACCCATCCCTCATTATCATTTTCTAAGAAGGACAAATATGTCTATCCCATTAACTCACACCAGTATAGACTTTTCATACCTCTGATTGATGGAAAACATTGTCCATTATTGATGTTTTTATCGTTAAATATGACAATAATTTCTTTTGATTGCATGAAACTAAACTGGTGTAAATAGCTCAAATGTAATGATGGAATCATGTCTTCTAATAGTTGCATATGAAACCCCAGTGGCATCTTTCAGGTATCTTTTCTTTCAGATGTCTTTTAAAATTTGTTTAAATGCTTTGTCTTTGTAGGAAACTTGTACTAACACAGCATGGAAGAGAAGAATGGGAGTTCTTCCACTGGGTTCAT